CACTAAGGAATACTGCTGCAAATAAAAAGCTACAATGCAGAAAGAAAGGAGGAAAGGTATGAGCAAGCAGGTGTCATTTTAAGTTGTTGTCCAGATTATTAACATACACTTTGTTGACTTATACATGTATGTTTGTTCACTTAACATGAGCAATCAGGAGTTCATGCCTTATGTGTTTATAGTTCGGCTTCAGTATCCATTCTATTTGTTAAACCCAAAAATATTGTTGTCTATCATGTGTTGTCTATGTTTGATTCCAACTGTGTGATCAACTATATATATTACTAATGCATGTCATTTTGACTTTTTCAGGAAGATCAACCTTGAGGGAGTCTTGGCAAGCTGAAATGAATCAAATATTGTGCAACGAGAAAGATGTCATGTTGATCTGTGCTAAGAGACATGTATTTTTGTTTATGATTGCCTATTTGTAGCATAAGTTAGTGGTTTGTAATGCAGTTCAACTTTGCAATTACCTATTTGGAAATAGGAAGGCATTTGACTTCCTTACATTGTACAAACTATTGAATGCTTATGATCCAAGTTATTAATATGATTGCCTTTTTGTGCCATTGAATTTTGTAATTTTATGAATTTCTGTGCAATGAATTTGATGCAATAATTGGTTGCCCTTCAAATCTCATGTCGATGCAATAGTTTGTATTGCATCCAAGCTCATGTCGATGTGATAGTTTGTATTGCATCTAACCTCATGTCGATGCAATAGTTCGAATTGCATCGAACATAACGTCGATGCAATAGTTCCTATTACATCGAACCAAAATGATGATGCAATAGAACCTCTTGCATTGAATCAAAATGGTGATGCAATAGATTATATAGCATCGAACCTAATATGGATGCAATATAGTCTATTGCATCGAACGATAGCCGTTGCAATAGATGTATTGCATCAACATGATTTGGATGCAATAAGCTATTGCATCTCTCAATTTTGATGCAAGAGACAACGGATGGACGATGCAATAGCTGCTTCTCGCATCAACCACAAGTAACCGATGCGAAAGGCTATTGCATCAAGACCACTTGCATCGGCTGGCATCAAACGAGAAATTGATGCGAAACTGAACTATTGCATCTATTTTAGACCTATAACATCAAAAATTGACCGGTGCAACAGGGTCAAAATTTAGTAGTGGTATCACCTTGTGCACATGTGTTAGCATATTTTCACAAATGTTTTCAAGCGTGTTAGCACTCCACTAGATCCAAAATGCATATGCAATGAGTTAGAGCATCTAGTGGCACTTTGATAACCGCATTTCGATACGAGTTTTACCCCTCTTAATAGTACGACTATCGATCCTAAATGTAATCACACTCACTAAGTGTCTCGACCATCAAAACGAAAAAGCTCCTATCAAGTTTCACCTTTGCCTTGAGCTTTTTGTTTTTCTCTTTCTTATTTTTCCATGTCCAAGCATTTGATCATCACCATGCCATCACCATCATCATGATTTCCACCATTGCTTCATCACTTGGAGTAGTGCTACCTATCTCATAATCACTTTGATAAACTAGGTTAGCACTTAGGGTTTCATCAATTTACTAAAACCAAACTAGAGCTTTCAATCTGCCCCTTTTTGGTAACTGATGATAACCCTTTCACAAAGATATGAATTGAAATTAAATTGAATCCATATTGCTTGCCCAAGCATATTTATCATGTGTAAAAGGATATGGACAAGTTTCATGAACCTCAAATGGTAGCAATTACTCCCCCTACATATGTGCTAAGAGTTTAGATTGTAGCTTGCACATATGCTTAGAAAGGAAATATATGAGACAATGTCTACCAAATGATGCTAAGGTATAAGAGATGGACCTTTGAAGCGTGATATCAATCGGAGTGCACCAATATACCATCCTTAGCACCATGAGTAACTAGACATACAAAAAAACTAGAATAACCCATGAGATCAACATTAAAATCAAGGGTCTAGTTTTCATAAAATGAGCATGAGTCTAGTTACTTAACCTATGCATGCTAGTTTTTCATATCATCAATTAATCCTACAACTAGCATACACCACACAAGTATGGATATTAAAATTTAAAACTTGTGCCATGCAAGCAAACATATAAAATACACATTCAAATGCACCATACAAGTTTATAAACTTGCTCCCCCTACTTAATAAGCTTTCTATAAAGTTAAGAATCATGTTTGCTGAATATCTAGAACTCCAGTTATGCATTTCTAAAGTTAATTTCAATTTTCTATCCTTAGTTGTATAAGCTCTGCTTCATGATGTACTTTGACCTTGTTATTTGTTGAATCAGCTTTTGGTGTTAATAACAAAGTTTTAGATAATTTCATTAGCTTTCCAGAAAGTCTTAAATCACACTTTTTGCATGCCTAGAACTCTGGGTATGTTTAAAACAAGTGACTGTGGTGCTGTTGTTCGGAATCTGTGTCTGTACCTAAAATTGTTTGCTTCACCTTGCTTTGCTTTGTGTGTTGCTAAGTGTGGCTCATGCCTTTGATGGTGTTAAGTTAATATACCTAAAACCTTGTGAAACTTGTGTCATGTTTGGTGCTACCTTCCTTGCTATCCTAGCATGATAGGTTGTGGGATGTTTAATTAAGTAACGTGGAGTGCTTATATATGTCCGGTGTAACCTTGTGCTCATCTTGAATACTTTTATGTGAGGCATCTCATATTGCAATTCTTCGCATTCATGCACTTGCATTGTTGTATCTCATCTAGGTACACTAGATGCACCACGTGAAGGACATGATGATGGAGTCGAACCAGAAGATGGTGTTGGTGGACCTATCACGAAGATGGAAGGACCAAGCAAGTGCTAGGACCGGATATATCATCAAGACGGTGTGAGCTAACTAAACTAACTTGTGTCGGATCCTAGGCAAGCCCCGGAGCATTCTAAGCCTCCTATGTTTTTATAAATATCACTTGAGTCCTTTAAGTTTGATGCATTATGTTATAAAAGTTGATTGGAACCACTTGATGCATAGAACTACCTTGTCCAGAAATATACCTTGAACCATATGTAGGTCCAGGATCAAATGTATGCTTAGCAATGCTTAGACCGGTAGAAGTCGGGTGATTTCCTGTCACCTGTGAGATATAGGTGGATACCAAAGCATGGTTGGCAATATTTGCTATCGTGGAAATAATCATGTGTTGATAAATAAAAGAAGACCGGGTGAGATTGTGATAGTGAAGCAACAAGGCATGGAGGTTTTGGTGCCTATTTATCCCCGTCTGTGTCGATTAAGGACCGATTCGCTGTACGTCATCATGTCATGTTGAACGCATGCCTAGCATTTAGTTGGCCGGATAAGTCGTTCCGACCGTGAAGTCGAGTAGCTCAACTCAGGCCGGGACCCGGTAAGTGAAAGTGTGCACACTAGAGGAAGTAAGGATGTGTGGGGAGCCAGTGGCGTGAGTCTAAGGGCAGGCCGGGCGCTGCTCTGACCCGTGACTGTACCTGAGTTATACCAAAGGTGACCTAAGACTACCTTGGTGCAGGTATGTCTGGGTTTGTGTTAGGAATAACTCCCCAGCTGGTTGGAATCGATTCAAGTCACCGTCTCTCCCGAATAGTGAGAACTTGACTGAGCAGCGTCAACGTAGCATTAATTGATGGTACTTGATGGTTATGATGAATATGGAAATATTACATCGGCTATGGTTACTATTGCATGTTACTAAATGATATTTCACATGTTTGGCACATGTTTGTTGCTAATCTAGAGATGAATAGCTATAATTAACTTGGTTACCGAATTATAAAATGTATAGCTCAACTAGTGGCTTTTATGCAAAATTTTGTTAAGCTAACTCCACCTATAAAACCTTGCATACTCCTTGGTGTCACTTTATTTCTGGTTTATGACGGGTAAGTCTAGCTGAGTACATTCGAGTGCTCAGGGTTTATTCCACCATATTGTAAGTGAAATTTTCGGCCTGAGAAGATGGTGGCTAACTGCCGGTGGGCTCGATGACTTTATATTTATTTCTCATCTATATGCTTTTATCAGATGAGGTCACTTATGCTAGCAATGTATTTGGAACTTATATTAATGTAATCATTTGAAAGCTATGTTGTTTTTATTTAACCGGTTTTAAAATCCAAACTTGTACTATTATTTGTGAATTCATTTGTAATATTATTTCTGCTGCAACTCTATGTATATGATGCGTATTTGCTTAATCACATGATCTTGGTTATGATGTTGATTTACCGAGGTCCTTCATGACACTCGACATACTAACGGGTTTATATAAGTGAAAGTATGCGCGTGTTAACTTGTTTAACGAGGACGGCCATACTTGATCTTGTATAAATTGGGTGGTTCTGTTAGACACCAGGTATCTAGTAACAACCTAACTGGATTCCTCCTATTTTTGGGGACGACGACCGAACAGTCGTGTGCCGTTCAGTTTTGGATTCCTCCTGTCCTGTACGTGAAATAGAGCGGCCTGGGCCTCGTCAGTTTTGGACTTCATCAGTTAGATTAAGGGGTTCGGTTGGCCCGTTCCGGGCTGTTCCGCGCCGGGAACGCTTCCTACGGTATACAAATTTGTGAAGAAACCGATCGGCCGGGATTCATTTCCTTGTAACCGAACAGAGCCTAATCGGGAACTGAACACCAGGCTTTTAGCCAAAACCATATCGTTCAAATCGTCAAAGGAATCACCGAGAAATAGGAGCGGTTGTTGCCAGGCTTTCTACAACAGTTGAGCTGGCTTCAGAAACAGTCGCCAGGTATATTACATAATAAAAAAAATGTTGTGCTCCGAAATCATCACCTCAGATAAATGTTGATGTACTAATTCAGCAAACATCAGTCAAAAGGCCGCCCAAAGAGGGAGGAAAAAAAGTACTACCTCTACTGGTACACAATGCAAACTATGCCAACCATTGATATCAAACTTTGATGAGCTCCCTCCAATCTAATGGAACACAGGCAGTCGACGTCAAACTAAGTTACTGCTGAACGAATACAATCAGATATCCATTGCTTGAGAGCTTGACGATGCACCCTTCTTCTTCCTCCTCCTTTTCTTGTCCTTGGAGTCCTTCTCCTTCCCCTGCTTCCCTGCGTCACTGTCCTTTGCAGCAGCAGGCGGCTGCGTTGCTAGCAGGTGCTGATGGATCGCAGCAAATGGGTCAAGCTGGAACTGCGGGTTGTCCAGTACAGCCTTAAGACGAGCAGACTCCCGTACCCTGGACAAGAAATTAGGGTTTAGAGCCCAAAATTACAGTTGAAAAAACATGACGACCTGAAGCAAGGAAGAAGGGAGGATTTACACTAATGTCTGTCTTGACTTGCAGTTCAGCTTTGCTTCAGTCTTCTGCTCTGGTGCAGCTGGTTCTGGGAGGAACTCAGACAGTGCCGAGAGATCATATGCTTTCAGTTTCTTCTGGCGCCGACTCTGTTTACTTTTCTGCTGAACAAAAAAAAAAAAAACAGACAGTAAAACACTGACATCGTAATAGAAAGTGAAATGAAAATGCAAATTATACAAATATGATGACAAGTGCATGTGAATTTACATATTGGCCGGATCCATATGAAATGCATGTGGTGCACATTGCGATAGCAACACAAAAGAAAATAAATATGCCAAGCTACAGGAGTCTACTTTGGAATGGAGGAGACCTTTTCTAAAAAATATCCGCAAACATATAACTAGCTAAGTGAACGTGACAAAAAGGATTTTGAGTTAATTTTAAGCTCCCATCAATTGTCAAATCATGACTGTAAAAATCAGTTATGGTGACATGGTTATTTGCTTTTATGGTGCATGCATATATATGAACATGTGAATGACAATGGAATATTGCTCTTCTGCATCACTTATTCACTACATCAGGAAGACACAGAATGGTGTAACACATGCAGGAAACCGGTGCGATGCCATCAGATTGACCAAACACACGCTAATAAGGACTTAAGGCCCGTTTGGTGTGGCTCCTGCACTGGCTTCTCCACCAGCTCTATTGGCGGAGCGGGCGGAGCTGCACCAAACACCCTTGTGCGGAGGGGAGCTTCTGGCCAGCAAAAGCAAAGCACAGAGCTGGAGCTGTTTTCATGTATGGCCATGGAGTGCGCATGGAGGAACCGCACCAAATGGGCCCTTATTACAATAGAGCCAATACACCTATTACAACAGAGACAAACGGGCCCTTATTACAACAGAGCCAAATTGTGTCGATGAGACTTTGGAATTTGAATGATTTATTGATATTATAAACTGTGCAACAAGAAAACACATCTTCTGTCAGAAATGGAACTATTCCAGTGTATCCACCTAGGCAATTTTCCTAATCCCTGACTTGGGGGACAGGCTGCCATTGCTAGTGCAATGGTTGCACCTGAGCAACTACTTTATGTGATATTCTATGTGGATAACCCCGACATACTAAGTTCTTTCACATTTTGACCATAAAAGTACATACTATCTTTATTGAAAATTTATGGAATACGTAAGGGAGAATTGTATACTTCAGATTAGCACCAGATGCATTTAACATCATGCTCTTAAAATAGTAAAGTGATTCTCCTATACAGTCATTGCATCTATGTTGAAGATGGAGGATCTACCAGTACAAGAATTGCATAACAATCTAGAAACAATCAATCATAGAAAATTCTGGAATTCTTGCAAGAACATTTAGCAGCCTGATATTGATTATGTCCATTTTGACTCACCCATGAGCAGCTAATACTAGCACTAACTGCTTTTCAAATTTCTAGGAAAAGACTGAGATCGAAGTTCTAAACTTCGTGTTTTTCTTCAGCACAGTACCAAAAAATTAGGCCTGGTAAACCTGATTATGCTCAATTCCTAAGGAGGTTGAATATGAGGTTCGAGCCTTAAGGGCATGAACATTTAGGAGCAAGCCTATGTTTAACGGATATAAACACTGAAACCCTATATTGAATTACTTAGTAAACAAGTGAATGCACATGCTGACATGAACCATTTTCAGGGCATCTGACCCTGTAACTAAAGTGTGGTATCCTTCAGAAAAGCTACACTACAAATTAACCAATACTAAAATATTGAATGTGGTTGTAAGTTGATTTGTAGCATACCACAAGTCCAAAACTTCTAGGATAAGGAGGTGATTAGAACTTTAGAAGTTTACAGAACAACTTTTAACAGACGTTTACATTGAACAAAATGACTCCTCGCAATTGGCAGGGCAGTAAACAATATGATTTTCTTTATGTGGGCAGAAAACTAATGTTCAAAACTGCAGAATTTAACAGACATGGAAAAGCCAAGAAGAAACCAATTATATATGGTAACGAAGGAGAGGAGTTTGAGGTACCTTACTGATAGTCTTCTTAGCATTTAAGGAAGTAACTGCATCTTTTACTTCTGAAATAACAAAACAAAACTTTCAAGAGTTAGAGCACAAATTATGGTAAATGAAATAGGCCATGTTATTATGGAAAATAAAAAGAAGATAACGAAATGCAAATGGAGGCCTGGTGCAGTGGTGAGAGCTGTCTCACTGAGTCACCAGGTCGCGGGTTCGAAGCAGCCTCTCCGCAGATTTTGCGGGGGGGAAGGCTTGCCTCGGTTTTTCCCTTCCCCAGACCCCACTCATGTGGGAGCCTCCGGCATTGGGTCTGCCCTTTTTTTATAACGAAATGCAAAGGGAATGCATGCATGAAAGACCCAACTTGAGAAAGGTCCTGTTATAACTTATAAGTTAAATTTCATAAAGTTTGTGGAATACAGTATATGAAGCAAAGCTCTTCTTCTACATTACACTATGCAAATCATCAAAAGTGAAGAATGGAAATACTATTTCCTTTGCTGCGAGCAGGGTAGAAACTAGCAAGGGGGCATTTGCAACGACAAACTAACCCTTAAATGCCTAACCACTTGGGGGTTGAACAATGCAGGCTGCCCAAGTACTAACTTTGCTAAAAATTTCTGTTATGCTAACTATTTGGTGCAATTTCCATTCTTCTTTAGTGAATTGGAAGAGTTACTGCCCTTCCTCAAAGGAAAATATGTTCAACAATAGCAGAAAGTTGTTATGGCAAAAACCAATGCCTTATCCTAAGGCCAGCACTTCAGTCAGTTCTCCCATACAATCAAACTTTTAACCCCCAACACCATACTACCTACATATGTCTGGCTTACATACATCTAATTATACAGGCAATGAAGGACAGATGACAGGAGCAGCATGACGGAATCTATGAGTCAGGATCATATAGAAAAAAAATCGTCAACTTAACATAAGATCACACCTACTTGTGTAAAAGCTGAGCTTCTTTTCCAATTTTTGCTTAGATTTGAGCTCATGCTTCTTAGAAGACCCAGTCCTGCAGGCATTTTCAACAAGAGGAATTTTCAGAAATGTAGCCGCCATGCCCAGAGAACAAAAAACAATATTTTTCGCACGGTCTAATTCAGACATTGATTAAACAATGGCAGTATTGCAATTGAGAGCTACTTGAGCAGAACAATAGCTTCTTCCCTAGCCTTCAGCTATAAACAAAGTGACAAATGACCTTAATATTATCTCTAACATCCTAATTCCTCAAATACGTAAGCTCGGGTCCATGAGCGCCAACATTGCACTACATACAAACAGGAATCAAACGGATCGCGATTCGCGAGAGGAAAACAAGAAAGGAAGAAGGTAAAGACAGACATGTCGGCGCGTCGCGGTGGCGGAGCAGAGGAAGGGGATTCAAAGCAAGCGGGGGACGGAAGGAGACGGCGGAGGAAGAACAGGAGAGAGCGTCCGGCTGCGGGCCTGCTGCGCAGGAGGACGAGGTCGGCGTCGGCGTCTCGATGGCGGCGGGCGGCGGGCGATTGTTCCTTTGTGTGAGTAGAGCTCGACGGATTGGTGGGTGGATCTCGGGCCTAACCTAAATGGATTTCTTCGTGTGCTGCTGGCCCATCCGGCCTCCCGTGCCCGCCGATTTCGTCGGTGGACATGGGCCATGACTAGAACGGTTGTGGTGGCCCATGGCGATGCACGGAGGTGATGATGCCCGTCGCGGCGTCGCCTCCTCGCCGATGCGCTAACCACCGCCGCCCGTCGTTGTCCGAATTTTGTTAATTAAATAATATTATTTATTTAATAGAAAATTACAAAACTACTCCTTTCGTTCCATTTTATAGATCATTTTGGTATTTATAAATACACAACTTCAGAAGGCAAAACAATTATAATTTGGAACAAAAGGTGGTAGATAATAGTCCACAAATTGTAGATTTATGGCGTACACAAGAGTCCAAGTCAGATTCAACCCCTCCTATTGACTATTAGTTTGCAACTTGAGCCCGCTTGTAGTCGTCACTGACAACCTTGGTTCCATAAATATGTGTGATGGGTCTTCGGGTGCTCCGAATGTGACGCCGGAGCTCTCTAATGGTAACTTCCTTGGTCCCTTCGGCTCACTGAGTGCGGCTCCGCCTTTGGGGCATTCCCAATGCATCATCGCCGGATCCCGAAGATGCACTCGTCACCTGTGAAACCAAGCATTTGCATACATCGCCGGTTAAGGCGTGAGTTAGCGGCATGGCGCATATAGGGAGTAACCTCGAAGGTGCTAGCCCCCAACAAGCGGTCTGTTTGGTCACAATGTGTGTGATTTGAGTCATTTTGACTACCGTTGTAGAATTTAAACTACGTTAGGGAACTAAAGTAAAAAAAAAAAATAGAGTTAGATCTTTTTAGTCATCCTTTCTCTTGACTTCCTTTGCAAATGCAAAGAAACTTCCCTCCTTGAAACCCATCGACAACCAAGCCTGCAGACAATTTTCTGGTTCAGAATGTACCTAGCTTTTCCACATTCCTTTGCTTGCAGACAAGCCAAGCTGCATATATGAACTTCCAAGAAGGAAGTTATGTATCTCTTCTTGTCTTTATGAACAATCTAAAAAAAACTATAGAATTGTAACAATAGATGAACAATATTTATTTTTCTTGTTTTTTTTTCTCGGATACGCAAGAGCATTGCGTATCATTTATATTAAGAAGGAAGAGAGTTTAAATTACAAATGGCCTACGCCGGCCCGGCAACAGAAGCTTAAAGGGGATTACATAGGCGTTAAGAACTATCTATGAACGCGGTTTGTCGCCGTGTTCTATCCTGCTCCCGGTGTCGCCAAGCTAGAAAGTCCTGAAGCTTCGACTTTTGCCCAGCGACCCGCTTCTGCTCTGATGGCCGAAATGAGGTCGACAGGTGCGACGGCTGCCGCTCTGAAGCAGCACACATTCCGTTGTTTCCATACTTCCCATGATACTAGCGCAAAGTGGGAGTCAATACCGGAACGTTGTACACCATTCCAGTCTGCGCGCAGCCGTCGCCACCAGGAGATGATGGATTGAGTTGCTGGCGAGAGCAGTCGACCGAAGGCATGGAGGATGATTATCCAGACCTCCCTGGTATATGGACAGGATGCGACGATATGGTCAATCGAGCGCCGAGCTTGGTCACAGAGATAGCATTGCTCCCTTGCGTCTAGTCCATGGTGCAAACGGCGATCCGCAGTCCAGTGTCTGCGTCGGAAGGCTAGCCATAGGAAGATCTTTACTCTGAGCGACGCCCAGGTCTTCCAAATGAGTCTGTGCCCACGGAATTTTATGGCACCTATGTGCAACATGTTGTATGCAGACTTGGTCGTGTAAGAGCCACTCGGTGTCCAGCTCCAGATTGTTCTGTCGGGTTGGTCAGAGAGCTGGATGGCCTCCGTGAGTTCCCAGAGCGATAGGTTGTCGGCGATCGCTGGATTTATTTTTCTTGTTATCTTTAGATCCTAGGCTCACAGCTATATATATTCACGTCGTTGATTACAGGAAGTAGCATTATATTTTTATTAAATGCTTCGTGTTTTTTTTTCTAAAAAAAGCTTACATATTTCTCCATACTATATTATCATTTTTTTTTATTTTGTGATGATCTCGACTAGAACACATGATTTAGAGTATCTTCAGTCCAAACTAACATATCTAGTACACTAATAATATGTCCAAACCACACATGGGTCGTTAAATCATCATCATGGCAAGAGGACGTCCACAAGTACTCTTGGACGTTGGAGCACTCAGAACTATTTATTTTGAATTGCAATGGCAACAATAGGTGGCCATCATACAGGCATAACGGCTCTAGTACTAAGTCTGTTTTGTCCATATGTATATATAGTCCTAATAATCAATCAACAGAGCCACATGGCCTGTCGTAGCATATAACATGCATGCCAATCATGTGCCTCTCATACATCGTTTGGTTTCGTTTGTCAGTTATTGGTGCATGATCTTGTGCTGAATACTTTACGGTCCTGCCTGCATTATTAGTACTTTGCTGGTGGAAATGATCGATGTTGTTTTGCAAGAGACTACTGATCTGTTGACACGTACTTATATCAGTTGAACGAGCATGCACAGAGCAAAGGTGTGAGTTCCCTAATGATGAACATGCATGCAGTAATATTCTTCTTTCAAAGATGCATGGTCCAGATCTATTCAATCAAGTCAACTGTGTTCGTTTGGCGCCCTGAAGATTTTGAAGGCATTGACCACCTAAGGACTCTAACGGTAATAATGTATGAAGGACAAATGTGCTGTGATGATTGGCAAAATCCTCTTGTAATGCCAAATATTATGAAGGAGGTTGTACTATGTAATCTAAAAAAAAAAGAACTTGAATAGATCAAAGCCAGCAAATAAAACCCATTCAATTCAATTTGTTTCAAAATCTGAGAAATGGCCATTCAGTTATTTTAATGTTACAAGTTATTTTCTGTTTTGACTCCCCGTTGAAATTCTACACCAGAATCGTAGTTTTAACTCACTCATGCTTCTGTAGACGGAGACGTTGCTCCATAGCATCTGGATCGATCATGGACCCCTCCTGCCGTGTGCCCTACCACGTTCTTCCCTGAGCTCATCAGGATGCTGCTCGCTGTTCGTATGCATGCTGACCATCAGCTCTGCCTCCCCTCCTTGCCGTTTCAAATCCTCCAACTTTATCCCTCGCTAGCTAGCCTTTCCGTTGCTAGCTAGCACTAGCAGGCCCTCCTCGGTCATCATCCCGTCCCATGCCGGCCGCAGTAGCTTCCAAATGCATTCGAATTAAAGATGTCGTCTATGCATCAAGTATAGTACGTAGTACACCCTTGCGCGGCGCCATAATGCATGGCATAATGCCATATGGCTATAGTAGTGTAGTGTATCTTTTATTTGGAAATAAACAAAAATCGCAGCACCACAGCACATGGCAGACGAGACCGCGCCCGCCGGCGGACGCCACCGTACCCTACACTACCCCGGCCGCCTATAAATAGACCTCGCCACATGGCCATGTCTCTTCACTCCTCTCCGTCATCCCAGGATCGCTCACCATTTCATAAGCTCGATCTGCTTGGTGCGGTTGACGCACACGATAGCTAGCTCTTGAGGTGAATTCAACCACCATAGCAAATTGAAGACGATGGTTCACCGGCCGGCTGCAGCCGCCGATAGGGCAGGCGGTGGGGCAGGGCGGAGCCGGGTCATGGACCAGCCGGCCGCGGCGAGAGGCACCACCGGGAGGCGGCATCAGCAGCAGGCGGCTCAGGAGCTGGTGCTGCGTCGGCTGCTGCCGTGCAACAAGGGCAAGGCGTGCCGGTTCAAGCGCACCTGCTTCAGCGACGAGGACGACGCCGCCTCCTCCGCCATGCTCCTTCTCGCCTGCGTCGTCTGCGCCCCCTCCCTTTGATGATTATATATTATATTATTATTAGTAGGCCTTGCTTATAACTAATCAAAATGGATCACGTCATGTGATGCGTGTCAGTCCATGCCTCATCGAAAATGTGTTCACTATGTACTGCAGTACTGGTCGTTGATTAATTCGTCTCTCTCAAATCTCAATGAGTGTTTGGCAGCAATTTCTTTCTTTCCGCTTAGTGGTGCCAGAAATTTATCAATAGGATTTCGCAAAAAAGGAAAAGATGTGCGAGAACTTGTAATCCCTGGAGTGCCCAACAAATTATGAGCGATAAATACTTTGATAAATACTTTGTTCGATAGACAGGATACCTGACCAAGTGGTCTAGCTCGTCGTCGAAGTAACTCCATGTAAGAGTAGCCAGTCGGCTGGATTTCAGAGTAGGGGACCCTCAAGGCATCCAAGATATCATCGATGCAGAGGATACTGAGGTCGCTACTGCCAACCAGGCAAGGCAACCGTGACCCGATCTTCACGACAGTAGGTCACAAATCAAAGATAACTTACTACAAACAGCGGGATAACTAGCTTTATACCTGACAAAGGTTGGATGCAACCAAGCGACGGAGAGAGAGGCACCGAAACCGCGAAGACTTCAACTCGATCTCCGAACAACCGCAGAACCACAATCCGGAACTAATCCATACAAAACGGTGCAGCCGTAGTAGAAACCATAGAGCACGAACTAGGGGAACTCAGAGGGATCTCTTCACAAGTCCAAGAAGAACAAGGAAGAACAAATGTTTCAGTAAGGCGCTCGGCTGCAATATCATATAGTTTATCAAATCATCAAAAGGTCCCTAATAGCTTAGAGGCAGGGCTATTTATACTAGAAACAACTCTCCTAGTTAGGTGTGAAAACGAAATGGAGTTTCTGAAGATAGGCAATGTGAAAGGTCCCCTCGAGATGGATTCCTGAAGTGGTCTTCTCGTAACTGTTGGCCTCTAGAGCAGTGTCCACTAATCGGACCATAACTCCTTATCGGGAAATCCAAATGACGAACCGTTTGTTGGGTGTGAAAGTAGATTCGAAGAGCTTTCCAGCCATGTATAGCATGCAGCACGAAACTTTATAGATTGGTACAGTTTTGCATGGGAAGTTGTACAAAATTTTACTCCTAGTAGACTATTGACCTTATGCGTCACTTTTTCCTGGTCCGGTCGTCCGTCCGTGTTACTTGTCATCCGCATTACTTTTTCCTGGTCCGATCGTTCGTCCGTGTTACTTTTTCGACGGAGCTATTTTGTAGCACCGTGTCTTGATCCTTGAGCCATGTGCCTTCCACGTCTTCATGTATAATCCTAAGCATCATCAAGATAGGACATTTAGGTAATATAACATTCTTAGAAGTGTTAAAATTGCAATCAGTTAGGAATGAATTCACCTGCTCTTGTAGTTTCTTGGCACGGCTTCTTGTAAGTGACCCTTGATTTGTATCATTTGGACTTGAGCTCGCATGCACGGCTGGGATGTCCTCATCATCCTTCCCCTCTTTAAAAGGAGTCGTCCTTGAATCTTCCAATTCAAAGAATGAAGATAGATCGACGATATTGAAAGTTGTACTCACACCATAAGTACTTGGAAGATCAATTTCATATGCGTTGTCATTGATCTTGCGAAGCACTTTGAATGGACCATCGGCTCGGGGCTATAACTTCCTCTTGGGTTGTTCAAGAAAGCGATCCATGCGCAAATGCACCCAAACCAAGTCTCTTCTTTCAAATAATATCTTCTTGCGACCCTTGTTGGCGTGCTTCTCATACATCTTGGTCATCTTTTCAATGTTTGCTCTTGCTCGATCATGAAGCTTCTTGACAAATTCAGCTCGTTTGCTTGCATCAAAGTTCATACATTCGTGCAAAGGCAAAGGCAAAAGATCAATGGGAGCAGCAGGTTTGAAACCATATACAATTTTGAATGGACAAAATTTTATGGTCGAGTGTACCGCCCTGTTGTATGCAAATTCCACATTTAGCAAACTTTCTTTCCACAGTTTCAGATTCTTCTTTAGGACAGCTCGAAGCAATGTTGATAGTATGCGGTTCATAACTTCAGTTTGCCCATCAGTTTGAGGATGACACATTGTGGAGAATAGCAGCCTCGTTCCAAGTTTTCCCCACAAGGTCTTCCAAAAGTAGCTCAAAAACTTGGTGTCACAATCAGACACAATGGTACGTGGCACTCCATGTAGACGCACAATTTCTCTAAAAAACAATTCAGCAATATATGAAGCATCATCGCTCTTATGGTAGGGAATAAAGTGTGTCATTTTGCTAAAACGATCAACCACAACAAATATTGAATCCCTCCCCACTTGTTCGAGGTAAAACAAGAACAAAGTCCATAGAGATGTCTTCCCAGGGTACACTAGGAATAGGTAGAGGAGTATATAAACCATGAGGGTTCAAACGGGACTTAGCTTTGTGGCAGGTTTCGCAGCGAAGAACATGTCTCTCCACATCTCTTCTCATCTTGGGACAAAAGAAGTGATCAGCAAGTACTTGTTTGGTTTTCTTGGCACCAAAATGGCCCATAAGTCCACCCACATGAGCTTCCTGCACAAGCAAAATGCGAACAGAACAATCTAGAATGCTGAGTTTATTAGCTCGAAACAAAAACCCATCATGCAAATAGAATTTTTCCTATCCCTTGCCACCACAAGACTTGGAATATGGCTCAGAAAAATATGAATCAGTGGCATATAAATCTTTTATACTTTCTAATACAAAATTTTTAGCATCAAGTTGTGAAAGCAAAGTATGACGACGAGACAAAGCATGAGCTACAACATTGTTGATATTTCGTAACGACAATTGGAGGATTTCGCAAGCGCACAGAACTATCGCGTAGCACTTAGCTCGGTGAGTACCGAGTGTCGAATTTATATTTTTCCCACAGGAAGGTGGAAGGCCAGAATTTATATTTAGGCTAAGAATTGCTAAGGTAAAGCCTAAGTTGATCCTAGGTAGGTGAACGATAGTGAAGGGTGAATGTGAACTACCTAAACTAACTACTACTGACAAGCTAACCTAGAGATAGCTAGGTGGGAGAGCGAACGTTATATCTTTCTAGTAACTCAGGTAAACAAATGACTAGGAGAAATAAGATAGTACTTCGGGGCACAGTCCGCCTACCAACTAGGAGAGTTAAATAGACATGGTCTGCCATGAGCCCTACGATTTATGGTGGAATACAAAGGATGGACAAGGCTGCCACCATTTGCCACCTACCACAACCTATCTAGAGGCCTAGGCGTATCCACAGGTAATCTATAGCCTAAGCACCACGCTTAATCTACAGGCTTACTACTTCGATCCGAGCTCTGATGAAATGAGATCAAAGTACCCTAACCAGATGGTGGAACCGGTACTAACGAGTATCTACTAATTATAAGATAACCTATGCTACTAATGTCAAACAACAAGCACCTAAGCTCACTAATGCTGAACACTAATGACTAAGTACTTAAAGTAAAGCAAAGCAATAATACTAGAATAAAGTACTTAAATAAAAACTGAATAAAGTAAATGCTAAAATAAAAGAATTACAAAGGAGTTATACCAGACCCAAAAGACTCTTCCAGACTCTGAGAGCCGCTCCGCTCTTGTCTACTCCACTACTAGACTACTATTCTATAGCCAAGCTAAGCTAGAATGCTAAGAGAAGCTTGGAGAGCTTGGAAATGAATGGGTCCCTTCTCCACCGAGCTCCACACCCTCTATTGTAACACCTCTGGTGTTACGAGCTCGTTTAGCACCGAGATTTAGACCTAAGAGGATTTATCGAAATGATTTTCTCAGATATTAAAATTTTAACTTATGTTTAAAAGTGTCATTTAGGCATTATAATGAACAACGGGTTAATTAGTACCTAGATCTTTTGTTTCTACGAGTTAGTATGATGTATGGACTAGTGTATGAAATGCGTAGTGGTTGGAATTAATTAGATTTAGGCATATTAAAAATTGCGGCAAAAGCGCTAAAGGTTGTTAGTTGTAGCTAAGTTATTATTCTCTCTGCGTCGGAAACGATAGTAGACAATACCATTTTGGCATTCGATTTTCAACAAAGATGGTTAAGCACTACATCTATACTTTTGCATGATCGGTTGCAGTTAGGTGTATACTAGGACGTTGTGCAGGTCGTGGTTACGTTAGCGTTACGATGCTCACACAAAAATTGGCCATACTTCGCTAGAATGCATTGAACCGTGTCATTGGTGCTCTGTCCGTGAACCAGCGTTCTGCGTGACCCACCGGTAAGGAAAATGGACCCTAGGCCCATTTACTTTGGATTTTAGTGTTTAATGACCAACACAACCAAATTAGACTAATGAATTTACAAGTGATTATTTTGGAGTTCAATAGGGTACAAGATGTGACTTGGACGAAGGCAACGTGATGATCCGATGATCAACACCATAAGTAAGACCTTAGAAGCACAAGAGAAGACCCAAGATATCAAGCAAAGTCCAAGCATCAAGATAGAAACCAAACTGTACGCAAGATCACGAAGAAATGAGCTCACAGAAGTGACCGAACGCTGGTAGCACAGTGACTGGACGCCCCGATCAAGAGGCTCAGTAGCAACAGTGACCGGACGCTGGACCAGACGCTGGCAGCAGATCGATCGGACATAGGACAGCAGAGTCCGGTCGAGTACAGAGAGGTTCCAGAGCGGCAAAAATGTGATCGGACATGTCCGGTGGCATGTGACCGGACGCTGGCATCGTCCGATCAGTGAATCGTGGCTCCAACGGTCGGGACGACTGGATGCGTCCGGTCAGGACGTGATCAGCGTCCGGTCAGTAGCAGAAAAGCGGGATTTCAACCCCAACGGCTACTTTCTCAGTGAGGCTTATAAATAAACCCCCCAATCGGTCAAATGAAGTGACTGGAGCTGAGGAAACATATCTAGGGTGTTGATACACCATTTGAGTGATCTCCACTTGCATAGTGCTTAGTGTTTCATTAGGTGATTAGCGTAGG